ACCAAAGACAGAATGGGGAGCAGAACAGGTAGATCCACTGAAACACACTGCTGAGGGGAGAATCGGGGAGACAGGAGTGGTCTGCTGTGCCTTGTGGGTCAGCTCCCTGGCCAGGGATCCAACTTGTGCTGTAGTGGCTGAGGATAGCTTCACAGTGCTGAGACTTAACCCCTTGTACCATCAGGGAAGGCCCCATGTTCTAGGTTTTGACATCAGGGAGGGCCCCATGTTTTAGGTTTTGACAAAGTTTTAAGAAGATAAGTTTTGTGGTCAAAAGTGAAGGACAGGAGAAGAATTAGATGATATCGTGACCATCCAAGAGGGCCACATAGAACCCTGGTCTAGAGCAAGGGTGCTGGAAATGAAAACAACGACCCCCTGTCAAGTTTCCAGGAGCTGGAAGAAAGCATTTTTTCAGCAGTAATGGGTCTGGGGAGCTCTGGGGAGCAGTGATGTCTGTTAAGTCAAGCTCATTCCCAACAAGTCAACGCTGAGGCTCCTTCCTTCAGAATCATTCCTCCCTACCCATTCAGCTTTGGGAGGCCCACCTCTGCCTGTTAGATCCAATTCATGAATTCTTTGCCACATAATCCCAAGGACTCTAATGGGCACATGGCCCTGTTCATGTGACCAAAGCTAATTTTAGGCCTGAGAAAAAACCACTCTTATGTTTTGAATTAGTCCATGTGAATGCTGGTTGGGGTCGGCTCCAGCTGGCTGGGGAGGTTGTGTCAAGCTATGGTATAGCACTTTCTTTTATGACTTGAAAATTCTTGTCAGGTTCTCATAAGTCACATGAATTCCAGTAGAACATTTTAAGTCACAAAAACTGTTAAACTTTTCTTAGATCCAGTTAGGCACCATTAAATCTTAGCAAGATTAGTGAAGTCACAAGATTTCATCTAGCATAATGAATAGAATTTATACAATTTAATGAGGTTCGATGAGGCTTATTGAACCTTAACAAGCCCTTAAGGCGACGGGGCCTAAATGTAAAAATTCAAACAGGACAGAAACAAACCTTTTCTTTTCTTTTCTTTTTTTGAAGTGGCGCGATCTATCTGAACTTACAGGATGTGTGTGTTCCCTTCCCCAAGGGCCCTTTGTGACTGCTAAGATGATAAACTAGTGTGTGCTAACTTTTAATGGGTGACTCTCCCTCCTCCGTCCTGAGTAGAACATACACATTTCAATAGGGCCTTTCACCCAGAGTGCAGAGCTGGAGTGTGGGATTTCGATCACCATCCTAGGCCCGTGAGGGACACAAACTAGACTGGAGGGGGCCCTTCTCAGCAGTCATGGTGCACACAGGTAGTACTCTGGCCACAATGAATAGAGAGGTGTGTGGGAAAAGCAGGGGCCTGCCTGTGTGCTGTTCATGGCTAAGTTCAATAAAATAACTCCCAAATCAGTCAGGGGCATCCGATGCCACATTTTCATTGGTGGAGAGAGTCAGTGATTCCCCTGGCATTTTGTGGAATAGACCTTTTGGAATATTTGTCATTGGCTACACTTGAAACTCAGAAAGTAAACTTAGGGCAGGGCTGTATACATTTGATAATGAAATATTTATCTAATTTATCTTTTATATTTTAAAGAGGTTTAAAACATTTGCCCCAATAAGACATATATTACTTTTTGTTTGTTTTCTTGCCAATATTTTAAAATTTTGGAGCTCAGTCAGTCTTCAGCTCCCAGACCTGGACATTTGTCACACTTCTGGCCATTATGCTAGTAACGGTGATAATGATAATAGAGCCAAACACATAGGAGGCTTATTTTGTGTCAAGCACTGTTTCAAGGGCTTTACAAACATGGACACATTTAATTCTCACCAGCACCATTTGAAGGAATTGTCTTTTTTCCTATGTTTGTAGGTGAGGAAACTGAGACATGGAGAAGTTAGTGACTTCTGCAATGTCACAGAGCTGATAACCAGGACTGGGATTTGAACCCAGGCAGTGTGGATTCAGAGCCTACACTCAACCGACCACATCCACAGCAATCAGCATGGGGGCTTAGGCTAAACCAGCCATCATATTCCAGTTTGGGAAGGAGAACCATGACACACGGTTGAGCTCAAAAGATACCAGGAAATAAGTAATGATGAGAACAATATGGCTTTATTTTTGTGGAGGGGCAGAGGAAAAGGAAGAAAATAAAAAGAGATATTAGAGTTTTAACGTGGAAGGAATCACATAATTACACCAGTTTTTTGGGGGGGAGGGCAAGTGAGGGTTATATCATAATTTCATTTTTATTTTACATTCTTGTATATTGTTTTAATTTGTTATAAGCATGTGATCAAACTCACAGGAGAATGAACTAAGCTTCTACCTATAATCTGGGACACCATTTGGTTTAGATTTTCAAGATCCTGAGAGAAACCATCAGTTGCTTCCTTTTCTCAGGCACAGGCAGTGACTCATGTCACAGGTACTCAGTAAATAGTTTGTTATTTGGCAGTATGTTGTGTGAATGACAGCCCTCTATTTCCTCAGACCTTTACATTCTTAAAACTGTGAAGATATCATTATTTAGAAAAGTTAGATTGGCTTTTGATTTTGTACATGGTCTGTATTTTTTCCCTCAAGTACAAGAAAATATTTTAGGTTTTCAGGCCATGAGATCTATGTTGCAACTATTCCCACCTCTATAGTATGAGAATAGCCAAAGTAGTATGTTAGAATGGGCGTAGCTAAGTTCCAACAAAATTTTTTTACAAAAGCCAGTGGAGGCCCCGGATTCAGCTTGTTGTCCCCTGCTCAGAGCACTGGTAAATAAACTGAGAAACAATGGATCTGCTTCCTGTTCAAATATTTTTTCTCTTGCAGTTTTGAGGGATTTGCATATCTGTGAAAGTTGGACTCAGATATGTTATCCACTTAGCTTACAATTTGTGATGTGTTCATCTATTCCTTTGACATTTAAACCTGTCAGGTCACCTCATTCCTGTTGTTTGAGAGATTAAGGTTATCATACTCCACAATGCCACAGGGCTATGCTTGAAGTCAGCATACATTCTGTTTCCTGTTAGAGTTTTCTACAAAGCACCCTGTTTTGTGTTTGCTTAGTTTATCTCTAATGAAATGAGAGAGAAGTAATTCCTCCTGAGGGAGTGCAAGAAATCTGTGGGTGACCCATCACCAACTTAGGTCTCCTCAATAGCTCAGGCAGGGGAGGCTGTAGCTGTCTTAGGTCTGTCATGTGATGCTTGCACGCACGCGCGCGCGCGCGCGCGCACACACACACACACACACACACCATAGAACAAAAACATGCTTCCAGTGTGACAGCTCTTGTAGACCTTTCAGACTCTAAAGATAGCCCTGCTCTTACTTTATCACTTATTGAATATACTAAATCATTAGGAACTGGGCCAATCAGTTCTCTTTCTCCAGGCTACTTCAATAGCTCATTTCCTCAGCAGCAAACCCTGACCTGTGTCTTGAAGCACAGTGCAGTCATCTCCATTTCCCACTTCAGTAAGAGTACCCTACTCTCCAGTAGTACCCTCCTCTACGGAAGGTAAAAACAACTTTATTTCCTAAATATCTCAAGTTCTTGTTGCCTAAGCTCCTGTTCACACTTACTCCCAAAGAGCCATGGGATCCATATTACACCTTTGGCCACTCAAAGTCTGGACTTTCAGGCACTCAATTAATGTGCAGTAAACAGTTGATGGATAAAACCTTCTAGGTATAGACATTTTATAGGCTGAGTATAGTTAAATCCCCTAAAGTTGCAGCATTCTCCCCACTTAGTTTCATAGAACTGATATGTATATTCTTTTCAAAAGGACAAAGAGAAATCATTCGTCGGGCTAAGCGTAGGTGTGTTTGGAGGAATGCTTATCATGAGTGTCATTACAGCATATTATGTTCAGAATTTAAAAAGCCAATGCTCTGGCCTTCCATGTAACGTCTATGCAATGAACAGACAGGATAGATATGAAATAGAGAATAGTATTTTTTCTGCTTGTTTGCTCTTAGATGTGCAAATATCTACTTTAATAACTTAAATTAAAACACACATATTTCATTTGCAGTGCAATGAACTGAATGTTTCTCCCCCAAATCCATACGTTATAACCCTGATCCCAAAATTATGGTATTGGAGGGTGGGGCATTTGGGAGATAATTTAGTAATAAGAGTGGACACTCAGGGGTGAGGTTAGTACCTTAACAACAAAAGGCTAGAGAGCTCGTGAGTCCCTTTTTCTACTCGAGGACACAGCAAGAAGACAATCTTCGGTAACCAGGAAAAAACAGGAAGATGGTCTTTGCTGGAACCCAACCATGCAGGCACTCCAGTCTGGGGCTCAACTTTCAGACTCCAGAGCCGTGGGGAATAATTTTCTGTACTGTTGATGAGTCACAGAATGTATGGTCCTTTCTTACAGCAGTCAGAGGCAGACTAGTGAGCAAAGCAAATCTTCACTTTCATTGAACTTTGTTTTACTCAAAAAAGAAAGTGTGAACTCTCAAAAGGAAGCACTGGAAATGAAGGCCATTGTAATGGGGTAGATTGCCATGGGCCATTTCATTTCCATACTTGGTGGCTAACAGGAAAAAAGAAAGCCCCTTGAAAAAAAGAGAATTATGTCAGGCCTCCCTGTTGGTGCATGAGGTTAGGTGATAGGACTATCATCACTGAGGCCTGAGTTTGATTCCTGGCCAGGGAGCTGACCCACATGGCACAGTAGACATCTCTTTTTCTCGCCTGCTGCTCCCCTCAGCAGTGTATTCCAGTCAATCTGCCTGCTCTGCTCCCCACTCTGTCTCTGGTCCATTGTCTCACCACCCCCCACACCTCAGGCCTGCAGCCCAGCTTTTGTATGCATAATAAAAAACTAAATCTTAAAAAAAGAGAGAGAAAATCCTGCCTGTGATGTTCTAATACTTAGTGGCTGCAAATCTTGAAATCAGAAAATTACTCAGTCTGTAATTTAAATTTTATTTCATATCTATCATTAAATTACACAAAATCAGTGACTGGTTTGTAAAGCTACACCATTGGACAGATGTTTACAGTTGAAATTGTGGGACTTACATGATGATGACAAAAATGTATATTTATAACACCCCTATATACAATAATCAATCTAGACAGAGAAAATGCACTTAATCTCTGAAAACCATGCACACCACAGCAATAACACAAAATGTTTTTTGTAACAAGCTTTTCCACTGGCTTGCACTTCGTCCTGTTTTCCAACAGTAGCTACCAGTTTTAAGAACAAACATCTATTAAAACTAAACAAAACTGAAATACCATAGTGGTCTACAGAATTTTTTTTTTAAACACAATGTACACAAAATAATTTCACTCAAACACTTTGACTTCAAGGCATTTTTATTTTTTCTTTTAATGTCTTTTCCATTCTTCTGTTCTCTGAATTCCCAGGCCTGCAGTGCTGTCCGGCAAAATGAAATTTAGATATATTGATACACATGCCAAGTCAAGAAAATGTATTTTCAAATCCAAATACTATGATTATTGTCCAGCTCATAGCCATATCATTACAGAGGACACGAAATGATGCAAACGAGAAGACTGTACAAGATGAGGATGTACGGTCATGCTTGTAAGCACGTCCCTGAAACATAAATGCCATTTCCAGCTGCCTCTGGGAATGATGGCAGGAGGTCAGGGTAAGTCCTTACAAAGGTAGATAGCAGAACTCATAAAACGGGCACTGCCCAGCATCTGGAGGCTCGGTAACACATTGGTGATGTATTTCTTTCTGCCCTGCTCACATCGCACTTGATTTGGTGCATAGACTCACTCGCTCAAGTAGTCACTTTCCTCAACTCGTACTCGTGATACCTAACCTCACTGCAGAACAGTCCTTCCTTTTAGTCTTTCTTAAAACAAAACCTGGTAGAGGGTTAACCGAAAGGATTGAGGCACAGCTTTTGGTATCACTGAATAACTATGGCTATCCTAATTATTTTTCTACTACTTTTTTTTTTCTCTTTATAAATGTCTGTAGTCCGTGAACACGAAAAAGAACGAGTGGGCTAGAAATAACCAGCCCGACTGGGAACATTACAATAAAAATATACAAAAGTAAATAACAATTCACATTCAGGTTCAATTCTATCTGATCAAGAATAACTCCAGCAATATTTTTAGACGCATTAGCCTGTTCAACAGTTTCTTGATAAGGACTTCACTACACAAACATTGATAAGACAGATCTATAGAAAGAAAGTCCTGACTTTAATCCAGGATTATATATCACAATAAATTCAGCAACACACCATTTAGATGATGAAGAAAGATTTTATAAATGGGTTAGTTTGGAATGAGCACAATTCGGAGAAGCCTTAACTGAATGAGAAGCAGCGCCAAAAAGATTCAGAATTGTTCAAATTACAGTGCCTGGAAAGTATCTGGAAACTACATTTTTATGTTGGTATTCCATTTGGAAAAAAGTGTTTTGTTGAGTATGAGATATACCCTGTTCAAAACCTTTAGACAGTAGAAGGTAGAAAAAGTTGAAAATTTTAAGTATCTTAAATAACAAGATATTCTACTTAAAAAGCCAATATTTTTACACACAACTACCCATGTTTGGGAGAGATGTTTTATTATTTTCTATGGTTTGGTAAAATTTACCATCAGTAATTATTCTATAGATTCCTAGTTAAAATCAGAAGAAAAAGAAAGGCTTCGGGTTTCAATTTAGGGTTTTGTTTTTTTTTTTATGTTTATATGCAAGCTCACCCCCTTAGGGGAAAAAAGTTTGCTTCCAAGATGGGGTTTAAACAGCATATCATGAATAATTTAAAGTCCATTTCTTAGGCATATGTGAAATGGCCACCTTTTATGATTTCATTTAGTCTCTATGACTTCTTTAAGAACTTCTTAAAATACCTAAACAGCAATTTCTGGTGAGCCTGGCTTGGCTTTTCGATTTTATAAATAGGCCGACAAACTCCCCAAAAGACAATTTAATTACACATTGAAATTGGGTTTACCCACACACAGTATTACATTTAATGCAAAGGCGACTGTAAAGGCAACATCTTAACTTTTTTAACTTCCAAATTTAAGGAAGCAGGCAGCGTTTGGATACTTTCATCTTTTCAGATTTGCCAAATTTGTACTGGTGCTTTGGGAGAAGTGTGTGAGGCGCGAGGGGCCACTTAACGCCATTTCTCTACGCTTCCTATGTAGTCTTGGGTGCCATTGCTGCTGCTGCTGTCACTCTGCTCTTGGCCCGAGGTCTCCCTTGGGCTTGAATTCTGACTCAAACTCTGAGTCAGATTCTCAATCAGATTCTGAGTCAGATTCTGAGTCACGTTCTGATTTGCATTCAGATTTGGATTCTGACTCGGATTCGGGCTCTGGCCCTGACTCTGGCTGGGGAAATGGGTCTGAAGGAACCTTCCCTTCAGAAATTTACGCTGCTCCTGACGCTTCCGCCTAGCTTCCTGATGCTCCTTCTGCCTCATAAACTGATACCTTTGCAAAAAGAGGTCTTTTGCATAGCTGTACAATTCCATATCCAGAAAATTCAGTCCCTCAATGCGCTTTTGGATTTCCTCACTGATCTCTACACTGGAGGCCCTAGTGGTATTATATTGGGTAAATGGTGAAATAAAGTTCATGTTGAAGGTTTTCTCAAACAGATACTGGGTCTTCCGCTGAAACTCAGTGAGGCCAAAAAACGCCATATGCTTCAGATTCGATTTGGCACTTTCCAGGAGGACCTTGTTTCTTTGCTTTTCTGGCATGACCGAGAGATTGTAGCAACCTACTAGGGTCAGGTCAGAGAGCATGCGCACCTGGCGGTTGTTGGCCAGATTATAGGGACAGTCCATGAACTCTTTCAGGGGGCAGCCGGACCAGTCATCACCACTGTAGCAGCTGGGCAGCTCCTCAGAAGTCGGAGGCCTTCCATCGCAGACATGTAGGGACGCTTTCCAAGTTGCCCCTCTCTGGACATGCCTCCATTCGCTCAGGTACCGGGACACCGGGTCTCTGAGGATAGTGATGTAGTGGAAATTTCTATGAACAAAACACAGAGGCCCAAGGTCAGAGATGTGGGTGGTATATATGGAGTCAGGAACCTGGAATCCCACAGCTTGTCCTTTTGTTCTTTCACCTAATTTGTTAGTAATACAGGGAAAGCAAGAGCAAGGACTTTACGCCCAGAGCCTTGTCATTCTTCACTCCCCCTCTCCTTTTCTGCTCTTTCTCTCTCTCCAACCAATGACAGCATCTACCCAATGACCTCCAATGTCTAGTTGCTGAGTAGCAATCGTTTCATTGCCTATCTCCCCTCCTCCACCCCCATTAGCAGATCATGAAATGGAGACATAGCACAAGCTGGTGAATTGATTGAAGTGATAAGGAATCTTTCTTACTAAACATACCAATGCATTTTTGTAATACCCAGCCTAATCGGTATATCTTAGTTAAAAAAAAAAAAAACTTCTTGAAGAAGTATCTGATGTCCTAGCTTTGGATTCTGGCTGTTGTCATAACATCATGGCTCATACGTGATGGAAAAGGAATGTAGAGGTAGGCAGCACATGCCAGCACCTCCACAAAAAAAAAAAAAAAAAAAAAAAACAAAAAAAACAAAAAAAAAAACAGTGTAGTTAGTCACTGACTGAAATATACACGGTTGCAGCCAAGAGCCTCTATATGTAAATTAGTACCTACAACATTTGTGCATGTGATAACACTACGCACATACACACAGCGGGTCACGCACTGTCACCAAACCCGAGGAATGTCAAAGGCCATATACCGTGATCAGACACACAAGAGGAGGAAGGGTGCTGGAGTTGTGTTTTTAACAAGCAGTGCATCCCCACTCAGGTTCTGTGGATGAAGAGTGAGGTCATAGAAAGGCCTGTTGTGGAAGGACACCAATAAACATGGAATACTAGCACTGGGTTTCTAAAAGGAAACTGGGTAATGGCTTGCAGCTTTTCTGAAGTTTATACATCACCACGTGAGGGAATGGGGGGTCTGGAGACATGCATGAGGAGCAGAGAGAGGGGACCAACCAACCACCTGAGCAGCAGGACCATGATCTCCCAAGTCTTAGGCAAATACGTCAGCTGAGATCTGTCCTCTAAGCATCTGTTCTGTGAGTGGTGTTTCTTCTGCCTGATGTGACCTCCCTTCTGTGTCTGGAAAGTTCAAGTCTTCCTTCAAGTCCCAGCCCAAGTACTCTCCCTTCTTTCAGAAAACTCACTGCAGACCTTGCCAGTGATCGTATGTCCCTTTGCGTTACCATAGTATTAGCTTTGCTTTGAACACTTTCACTCCTGGATTGTAATTACTTGCTTATATTTCTGCTTAAAATGCTCAGGAGCCCTGAGCTATTGTTTCAGAACCCTCATCCCATACACTCCAGCTTTGTCCCTTTCCCTTCATACCTGACACAAAGCAGAATCTCAGTAACTCTTTGAATGGCCTATTTTCATAAACTATTCTGGAGAAGTGGACGAAGAGCACTGGCAGCTGAGAAGGCCATGCTCTTCCAAGTGCCCCACCAATATCACAGAAAGTCTTTTTAATCGCCTTATATATTTTTCTAGAACATAAAAGCATGGGACACAAGAAAGAAAAATCTGGGGGTGACTGTGAGGAATGGAGGTGGTCAAAGTCAGGTTCACCTATCTCACTATTTTCCTAGAACTTGACTGCTGGTTACACGAAAATCCATCTCTGCAAAGTTGCAGAGCATGTAGCAGGCTTCCATTCCCCATAGCCTTTCGCAACAAAGGTAATTACTTTTCCCATGGTGCACTCCTTCCCCTCCTCCTTTTGGTGTTCATTCTTTCATCCAATCAGTACATATTTATTTAGCCTTTATGCTAGCCCTGAGGTCATAGCTTAGTGGCAATTAGTATGATTATTTGGAAAGGAATAGAAATTTATGAAGTCTGGTGACACATTTGGATTAATCTTTGAAACAATTTCTCCAGGCATGCATTATAATGGGGGCTGCTGGGTGTGTAAACCCCCTAATGGAGTCACCTTCATGCTTAACTAACAGTGCTCTTGCCCTAATCTGTTTTACTGGTTTAAGCCTACAGTGACATCTTCTGGCAAATCTTGGACTGCATCACCCTGCAAGTCGGAGGCTCTTCTTTTAAAAAATTCTGTCTTGTCTTTAGGAGCAGATGGAGGCCCAGCATAGCATGAGTGTCCAGATCAATGTTTTATAAGCACCATTCCCACACAGATGGAACGAGGAGGCAACCGAAACAGATGTTCAAGTCGTGCATGCAACAGATCCATGGCCCTCATCACCCAAAGGTCTCCTAGTGCCCATGAGCTGAGGGTAGTCCAGTGTGGGCAACATCAGTTCCTGTGTGCATGCATGTGTGCACACATGTGCACATACCCGAACACAGTCCTGGCGCTAACAATTACCTAGACTCATGACAATAACTCTAGAGCTCAGTGATTGTCAACAGCCCCTTCTTCGAGGGAGAATAGGCCCAGGTATCCAGGTTGCTTTAACTAGAAACAATGGATGCTACTAAAGGTAGATCTCCAGGAATAGCCCACGACCTCCCCAATCTACCCTGTCTTTAACTGATGCAATTTATTCATGGCCCTGTTTAATGTCTTCACATTAAAGTAAATCTAAGCCGGTCAAAATACATCTGGATTCTGGTTATACCACCTCCCTCTCCCACCCCCTGTATTTTCATTGGATCTTCTTCCTTTTGGCAATACCTGTACCTGGGTCTTGCTCATAACAACAAGATTCAGGTGGGAGCAGGTTGGTGGGAGCTGCTAGAAATCTCCCTTCACATTAACATACATCTGAAGGGTCTGCTGAAGGGACTGACCTAATCGTGAACGAGGGAACCAAGCTTGGCCTGTTTCACCTAGTATATGGGACAGAAGTACCTCATGACCAAATGTCTCACTTCATGAAGATGCTCAAAGTAGGTGTCCCATCTTTAAATTGGGGTCATGCGTCCCCATCCATTTCCTGGGTTCATTTAACAGCCATGGTTGAGTGCATCTGGAGGCCCACACTGCTTTTATAGCACAAGCCTGTACAGCAGGCCTGGCATCCAAGTTGAGGCCCACTTTTCCCAGCCCTTGACAAGTACTAATTGTGGAAACAATAATAGCCAGTGAGTTAGTTGTCCAAGCAGGAAACACAGGCGCTTGCTTCACCCCTCTATCTCACTGTCAAACATAAGAATGTGCCCCCAAGTCCTGCTGATCCTGGCTCTTCGTGGAGGTCGCACCTTCCCCTCCAGCCCTGCCCAAGGTCATGCCTTCATCTCATCTCTACTGGCTCACCTCCCTGCCTCTCGTCTACACCCATTGCACATCCCCAGGTGGTGACATTTTATCTCCTCTGTCACTCTCTCACAATGGCTGCCTGTACCTACGGCTTTCAAGCTGCCTCTACACAAGGCTTTCTCACTCATGAGTGATTTGCATCTCTCTCTCCCCTCACCCAACTCTAGAACTTTTGGCAATATCTGCAGATATTTTTGCTGAGCCCAAACATGCTGCTAAGCATCCTACAGTACAAAGAATTATCCAATGTCAAATGTCAACGGTGCCAAGATTGAAACACCATGCTGTATACTGTGCTCCAGGTATATAGCAGTAATCTGAATTTTGGTCCTAGACAATGATCCCACAGGCCCCTTTCTTTATACATGGAGTGCCCAGTCTTTTGAATGGCTTCTCTCTGACCTTTGTAGGTTACCTGAAAAGTCCCTTCAAAATACAACTCAAAGATTGTCTCCTCCAGAAACCCTGCCTTTGCCTTTCTGGGCAGATTTCAGCAGTCAGGTGCTCTCTGTTCCGAGTGCCCTGGCATTCTCCATTGCAACGCACTGTGATTGCCACCCCCCACCCTGCCCCCCGCCATGGACTATGAGCTCTGAGAAGGCAGGGACAGTGTATCATTTATCAACCTACGCTCTTCAGGGCACAGTGTTTGACATAAAGTAAGTGATTAATGAAAGACTGTTGAATAAATGTCTGTAGCAGAAGCAGCAGCGCTTAGGATGAACCAGCTAATAGGAAAATGCATCTTTTCTTTGATAAGGAAAAGCCACTAGATGTCACTATTAAATAACAGACGTGCCATTTTGCACTTGTGATAGAACATTGTAAGGAGATCTAGCTATGTGGAGAGCTACTTATAATCTGTCATTATTGCTGACTTTCTGTGCAGTGAGCCAATGTTAAAGAAGGCTGGGAAGCTTAAGGATATTAAAAGTAAGTAAGTGGATAAAAGCCAGAAGCATGGTTTTGTTCTGTTTTGGTTTTCACTTTATTTTAATAGATGATCTTGAAATAAGTAAGTACTGAGTTCTAAGTCACAGAACCTTGAAACTGTCAGTGCAAGAAGAAACCTCTGAGATGGCAAATCATCTAGATCAAATACTTCACTTCACAGGTGGAGAAGTTATAGTTCTGAAAAGATTTCTCCACAGGCCACAAGTTGCCTACAACCCTCAGGTGTCTGGCTAACTACAAAGAATACTCCCGGACTGAAACCCTATATATTTGTTGCAGACTCTGTATGTTTTTAATTTAAAAAACAAAACAAAAAAACATATATTTTTTACAGCATGCTTCCTTTACATATAGTGTATGCTTTACCATGTCGTGTATGCTCACAAAAGTGAGAATGATACATATTTAAAAAAAAAATAGCAACAACAATTGTTGGCAAGAGTTTGGAGAAAAAGGAATTCTCCTACACCATTGGTGGGAATGCAGACTGGTCCAACCACTATGGAAAGCTGTGTGGAGGTTCCTCAAAAGTTGCTAAAAATGGAGCTACCATATGATCCAGCAAGATACTGTCTTTGTATCCATTAACCACCTAGGATGGCCAATAAAGCAATCCTGAAAGTGCACCAACCCTCACAGAGGGGTCCCATGAGACCCTGTCCCCACACCAGCTGCTCCCTCAGCCTGCGTGCTTCGTGCTTGGCACTGCCCACAACACTGTGAACCAAAAATCATCATAACCTTTACTGGGATGAAGAAACCGA